TTAATCGCGTTTATTCCAGTTTTTAAATGCTAGTATTTTGTAGCGGACTGTATCAATGGGGTTCAGGTGGGTGCTGTTGAGCAGTGAACAAGATCAAAGGAAACGACTTACTTACAGTTTATTTATTCAACACTATTGTTACAACAGAAAAACAGAAACAATAATCAAATGAAAAGAAAGAAAAAGGCATCAAAAACAAGTACATTTAGATTTAGAATTTCAATATAAAACTAAACTGTTAAAAATACTATATATAATAAGTACAAAAATTCTTCTAACGATTGCGGCGAGTCGCTAGAAAGAGTATATTGTAGTTCATATTAAATATTAAAATTATAATACATAATGTAGTGTGAGAGTTACACAGAGAGCCAAGGAGCGAGTCAGGCTCGGTATCAAGCTTATAGACCGTGTTCTCAATGTCCAGAAGTTGAACGAAGGTAAAAGACGTGGGAAATAGCATCACAGAACATGAGTGGAGCTGAGCACCTGGTTTGGAGACAAGATGACAGATGGATAATTGAGTGTCATACAAGGACTGGGTACGGGGCCCCGAGTCTGCTATTTTTACATCTTTTCATATGTGTGTCGATAATAGAGTATCAATGGTAGGATGTTGTACGTTTGGTATTCTGCTAAAAGTTTACAGTTTTAGCTTAAAGTTTAGCTTGCCAGTGGCTAGCCATCGATACTATTCAACTGCCGTTGAATTTGCAATTTTTTGGTATTCTGCTCTTCTATGACAAGTATTTTTTTATATTATCAAGTGAACGGACGAACAAGTCGTGCGCCTAATGGTAAGCGATACGCCTGTCCATAACAGTAGCAGTACCACTTTAAATCGCAAAGATCTGAGGGGCACTGCCAATGCGCGCGACACCCTGAGACAAGTTGACAAGTCCCATGTGCCTGTAATTTCACAAGCACCCTTACTCTTCGGAACCGGAATGCAGTAATGCTCACACTACTGCTTGGCGGCAGAAATAGGGAAGGTGGCAGTACTTCCCAGGACGAACTCTTTTACAAGGAGCTACTATCGTGTCGATGGCGTAGTGTATTAATATTATATGTACTTAATTTGAAGACTAAATGGCTGTTTAAACGTGATAAAAATTAAGATATGCATAGTAATTTCCTAGGCAGTTTTAGTAAGGCAACATCGATCGTTAGTAATTGAATGTATGAATATGCCACACTGACATTTCACTGAGGCTCAACTACCATTGCAAGTAGATTTTATAAATATTATCATAATCGCAATTTTTTTTATTAATATCTAGTGACGAGACGAACAAGTCGTGCGCCTGATGGTAAGCTACACGCCTCTCCATAAGAGTTAAAGTGCCACTCAGAGCTTTAAATTGCAAAGATTTGAGGGGCACTACCACTGCGCCTGTCACCTTGAGACATAAGTTGACAAGTCCCTTGTGCCTGTAATTTCACCAGCACTCTTACCCTTTGAAACCGGAACCCAATAATGCTGACAGTACTGATTGGAGCTAGAAATAGGTAAGGTGGCAGTACTATTAACTACTGGCAGTAGTACTAACCTGGACGAACTCTTTGACAAGGAGCTCTACTGCTACGTAAAATGCTGTTTCGGACGGATATCGGATGGAGTGGGGGATCAGATCCCTAGGTCCGTAGGCCTTAAATCAGTGGGTAAAGTCAGGCTGTATATGAATATATTACCATTGTCATTATCTGTATTTAAGAGCGATGCAAACGCGATGCACGTTTCAAATTAATTGAGTAACTTAATGTATTTATTCATTTCACTTTTAAATTTACGAATGTGCATAAACATGGCATAAACCTATACAGATTTTTCGGATATAATGATTCAACATTATATGCGACTGTATCGACGCAATCGCGCGTTTGTATCGCTGCTAAAAATCGCTACACTAACCTGTTTACAAACTTTTACGCAAAATAAAATCTTTTATTTATTGTCGCTTACGACCCATCAAAAAGATATGCTCAACCAATTAATTATTAAAATAACTATTTTACCGAGTTTAAAGTTAGGTATTTGTGGTTGAGCGAGGAAAGATTTGTTTGGCAATATTTCTGCGTACCGCGTAATTTTTATATTTTGTATTTTTATGTTGTCCTCATTCCAATCGTTAGAGTAGATTTATAGATGACATTTCTATGGGGATAATATTATTTGATCCTTAAACATATAATTGATCTATTGTAAGTGTGCACTTTTTTTTAAATACACGATATTTATTTTATGTTTGATATATATGAATTGTTCTATTTATACGGATGAATTATGAATTAACTGCATTCAAGGTAATGCTGTTATTATGTTTAAGCATACTAAATTAATATTAGGTACCTATTCATAAATAATATTTGATCCTCTTTCTTTCTTATTGGTCTTTTCTTTTAACGATTGATGGCATTTATAACCAGTATATCTTTTGATACTGATCTCCTACAAATCTTGGTTGCCTGGTTGCACCCTCCATTCAGTAGGTTACGTTACTATATGAAAAAGCACCACGAGGCGAGCGAGGGAAGCGAGTGTGCTGTGACAGTGGCCGGCGAGTGCCAGAAGCCAATTTGCTTGCGTTTCCGAACATGTTTTCATGCAATATTATTTTATAATTAATATAATATTAGTATACAAATATAATCGACATTTACTTAGTTATAAAAATAAGCATGTAAATTTTATTTTTAATTCACATGTCTTAGTTTTGAGGCCTAACATATAACTAACAAAGTTAATTTATACAAATCAAACATCTTTTGCCTAACTGAAATCACATTAAAATATCCATTGATTTAATTTATTTTATGTCTCACAGACAGAGGATCAATCATTAAAAAGTTTTTTATTTTCTAGATTTAGATTTTATGACTGCTGCTTTTTGCAAATTTAAATGATCTTTTAAATACACGCCATTTTTATATAATGCTGTTTTCTGTATCTATGGTTGTTACATAAGTTTGATTTCAAATTCGCGCCTGCTGTCCACTCAGACACATAGCTATAAATTTATGTAATGCATATTATAAGTACTATTCTTGAACAGTACCTAATTTACAATATAGGTATTATAGAAATTGTGGCAAGGATCATTGTTTGTGGAAATTTTGTGGTCAAAGTTCTTCATTATGCATAACATCCCGTTCATGGACAGTAATGGCGTTTACCGTAAACTTAAATATCAGAACATGATAGTACGGAGTACTTCGTTTCGCTATATAAATCTCATAAAACCTACTATAGGCTTTACTTTACTTTGTTTTCTGTGTAGTTGATGCTACTGCTGTAGTTGATGCGAGTTGAGCCTACTGCTTCTCCAAAGAGAAGTATCAACAACGTTTTATCGAATCCATTTAAGCAATATCCGCGACAAGAAAAATAGTGACATTCTTGTGTGCTGTACTATGTAAGTACTGTCCATGGCCGGGATAATATTATGTTTGTTATGCGGAGGACAGTTTAACGAGCGGACTCCATAGAAATATACATAGTTTGATACTATTTAGGAAAGTAGCCAACGAAATTAAAGCCATTTGAAAAATATATATCGTACATTATACGTGTACTATTTGGTTCAATTGATATAAAAAAAAAATCATTGGTATATGTAAAGTACGTATTGAATACAGCGTATTGTTGTTGTCTTGTAAAATTTCGAGGTAAGTTTGTGTTGTTTTTCTAAAGTGACTATTTTTAGGAATCGTGTTTTCATATCGTATACTAATCAGTGTTTATCCTCAATTTTACTACATATTTCTTCCAAAATGATTGATTCAACACTTCACTACTATGCGGAATGAACCAAAGCCTTTTTAGTTGTGTCGACTCAAGTGTACAATTTCCGAGCGGAATTACTCGGCTATTCCTCAATTGACAAATCTATAAATGAGCCCATGAACCATTTTATGGCGGTGTATAGTTGAACTAACTGATTATAATACTTTTGTGTGACTACTTTTTGTTGACACATTTATACACACAGAAAACATTATCTATCAGTCACACACATCTTTGGCCAAGCTATTGTAGATTCACCGGTTTTCCGCTTCCTATATAAACAATCACGTCTACACACGTTCGTCAATGACGTTACAAAACTGTTGGATTAAAAAGACAGGCTATTGAATTGAACGTATAAACACATTCGATTTCAAGTGACTGTCATGTTCAGAAGTGGAAAATTTATATTTGTAGACTTCATACCTGTTTGTATTAGATCCATCACGTCAGCTTTGCTTGTGTTTACATGTCCATATGAGTCGTAAATATAGTATGTTAAAGTCTCGTACATTTTTTCCTCCTGTAAGGTGAGATATATAAGAATCGCGGAACCGAATTTTGTCAGTAATTGATACGCTGGAAGACAGATAAGTTGTAAGTACTTACCAATTGTTGTGTAAAATTGAAAATTGGGTATTCATACGCACACCATATTAACCTAAATTAAAGGTCCCCTAGGTAATTTTTGTTGACTATAGTTTTTAACATTTTTGCATATTTAGGGTATACGCATATTTAGTGATTTTCATTGGACAATTATTTTATAAAATAACCGTGCGTTCGATGTTATATGTCTTACTTTATATAGCCATAAATATTCTGTGATATTTTTTACTCAAAACGGTGCCCTATGCAGTTCATCTGTACCCATTGATAGATATTACATTATATTTACCACGTAGCTGTCTTTACGTCAGTTCTTATAGTAACAAATAAATAAAGAAATTACCAGCTTTTTACCAAATTGTTATTAATACTAGAAACGTCCGAAATAAATTACGTACTATAAAGCGGTTACCACGCTGAACTACCACCCTGAATTGCCACGCAGGTTTCGGGTTCGATTCGCGGTCCGGGGGAAATATTTCTAAAGCCTACATCTATTTATCTCGTGAGTTTGACTGTAATTTTTGGTTGTATATGTGTGTGTCCATGGCACCCGCGATACAGGGTTTCCCTAGTGCGGGGCTATGAGTGTGTGCGTTATTATTATAGTGTGTACATTATTTGTTTGATTGATTTCATGTATTGATTGTCCTCCTTCCAGACCATCATGAGGACTTTCTTTATTTTATGTGCGCTGGTAGCTGCTGTGATCGCCCGCCCCGATGCCGCCACTTACAACCCTAAGTACGACAACTTCAACGCCCAAGACTTAGTAGAGAACACACGTCTACTTAAGAGTTATGGCAAATGCTTCCTTAACAAAGGCCCTTGCACGACTGAGGGTAGCGACTTCAAAAGTAAGTGCGTCTCTATTGCTATGAATGGTATGATGTAGATTATATATGTGCCCATTCGTTGTATTAATCCTTCGTTTCCACTAATCTATTGATTAGTCCTATTATAGAACTACTGGGACATTTTGTCCCAGTTGTTCTACTGAATTATATTTCAACAATATGTAGGTAGCCTTGGTAGGTTTTTATTTTTAAAGACCCCGAATTATGGTCTATGGATAGGCATTTGGTTAAATGTCTTATAAAATTTCAATAGTTTCATTTTTACATTTATACCGAGGTACGACGATCTGTATATTTGTTTAGATAAACTGGTTTTGTTAAAATGTATAACTGCGTACAACGCAAAAGATTTTTTTTATGTCTTATAAAATTGAGATCACTTATAAATAATTATACTTTGTTATTGTTTTTGTCTCCATAGAACCATTTCAATTACGCAAATATGAATATCGTGATTTCTGTATCTAGACTTTAATGGTAGCTCAAAATAATTTGTGTGATTTTAATTTTGTGGAGCCTTTCGTTCGACAATAAAAATATATAAAATCGTATTTTCATTTTAACAAGTTAAACTTTCAATATCTATTTCCAGGGGTAATCCCGGAAGCTCTCCGAACCAATTGCGGCAAATGCACTCCAAAACAGCGTCAGCTGGTGCGCGTAGTAGTCCGTGCCTTCCAGGAGAAGCTTCCCGAAGTTTGGACGCAACTCATAGACAAAGAGGATCCTGAAGGACAGTACAAGGAGGCCTTCGAAGAATTCCTTCGAGGCTCTGATTAAACCAAAGATATATTGAATAATATAACGCCCTTAAAATACATTTCTTGCATATTTATGATATATCTCGATAATATCTACGGTAATCTATCAGAAACGCTTTAATTCAAGTAGCTACAAAGTATCTGAAAGATACGTGCTTGTTTCTAATAATAATAGGGTGTTATTTTGGAGAAAAAAAATCGATATTATGTTTAAATTTCTAAATCAGCTGTGATATTTCTGACGTATGACGTCATTAATTTTTGAGGTATTTTTCCTTAAGTATTTTCTAGTATGAAAAAATGAATTTTGAACTGAAGTTTGCATTACAAAGCCTTGATGGCAGTTTTGTGTAAGTTTAGCTGATACGGTTTTGGTTAAACAATGCTCAATATTAATGGATAAACATTACAGTAAAAATTGTCCTTTTAATAGTTTGTATTGTAAACATAAATTCAAGGAAACTGAACATCTTATGTTTTGATTATCTCAGATTCACAGTACATTAATTTTGTACTCAAAAGTGTTATAAATAATAAAAAAACCTATAAAACATAGTTTTGTTTAATTAATTATACTTTGTGCACATAGAAGAAACAGTGTCTATTGGTTCTTGAATATAGTTGAATACAGCTACATACCCATGTTATAAACTACGTTTATCCTGCTCTATAATTCTTATATCCTCCTAACGCCTCGTGTACATGAAAATGTTATACATTTGTGTGACGTGATTGATGACCCAAACAATATTTTTACTATAATGACGTAAACGCCCAGTAGGTACACAATATTATAATGAAATTATCTCATTCTTTAGCGCCATTTATTCTACCTCCATATGACCATAGGATGTCTAGAAAAATATTTGTTTTTATTATTCAAAATTGAGGCGGCACTTGTTTGGACCTGAATACATGCAATAGCTAAGCTAACAATTTAAATGCACCTGTAATTTCACCAGCCAGCTTACCTTTCAAAATGGAAACGCGGTAATACTCACATAATTGCTTGACGGCAGGATTAGGTAAAGTGGCAGTATTTCCCTGGACGAACTCTTTCACAAGGAGCTCTACTGCCGCTATTTCAAACCACTACTTGAAATACGGTAACGCGATTTCGGCAAAGGCTGTAGACGTGTCAGTGTAAACAGTGCGTCGACTGCTCCGCCTTCGTCAAGTTGAATAGCTTGACGAAGAGGCGGCGGCAGTCAACTAAGTGCAAGCAGCGCGTCGACTGCGCCTTCTACGACGAGAGGAAGTAGTCTGTGGAAGATGGCAGTCGACAAGATGTAAACACGTCGTAAGATTTTGTATCGTTGTTATGATTCTTTTAATACGTCAGAAAAACATGCTGACTCCCGGACAGCATGTAAGCAAAATTCGTCAATTGATTGACATCGAAACAATTACCGTGTGGCATTTTCTATAATACTGCTAGCTACTGATTTGCTACCTTGCTATTTGTGCTACTTGTAAATATCGCAATACATTTCGATCTTGCGCTTGTGGCAATTGCAACCCAACTAATTTGTAGCCGACTGTATAATAATGATATGATGTAGACATCGGACTTGTTTAGTGCTGAAATTATTCACCCTAACCCTACTTACCTTTTGGGCAATTTTTTGATCCACAATAAAATAAAATGTGGGGCAAACTCAATTCATAACAGAAAAAAAACAAAGCGCCTGTCTTTATTTATGCATCAAAGTAACTCTCTGTGTCTAGTTGCTCTTAAGTTTTCTTACACCCTTAGTTGAAACAATACTTGAGTGGCTTGGGAGCATATACGCACGGTATCGTGCGCCTATGATTTTTATGTTTGGTGCTTTTAAAACTAATTACACCTGCTCGTGCTCTCCTCAAAATTTTTCTAAATGGCGCTTTTGCCCTTTCTACAAAACACCGACGAAATGATTTTGGGAAGCATAGCCCGTTTACTTTGCTTATGCCGCAGGAACCTGCGCTGGTATGCGCTGCACACTCTGCACCATAGGTAAAGCCGGTATTGTCTGCTGCAATCGTATCTAGTAAGCACATTACACAATTCGCATAAGTTCATTATGCCATGTACAATTTTATTACAAAAGTCCGTTTCGCGGTAAGGTAAATTGATTTTACGATACATAGGATATCAAAGTAGGTAAATTGGTTATATCTAAACATAGAGGAGCAAACATGGAATATTGATAACGTTTACTAAAAGTATTATAATCTAGCTAAGTCAATATTAGCAAACGAATGAGTTAGCAAGTTGAAGTGTCAATAAGAAGATATTATAGTCTGAATGTTGTTGCGTTTATGGTTTTGTGCAGTGTACCGATTAGTGCATGTCTATATGTCCGTGGTCGTCGACAAACTGTACAGGAATGAACTTAATAAGGTACGGCAAGAAGAACCGTAGAGTCCTTATATGTTTATCACCCTAAGTTAGGGTACTTCGGGTAATAGACAGGCCCTAGCCCTGGTCATATAAGTGTGCTAGATAAATATATAAATAAGTACAGGAGATCTGCGCCGTGAGACCTAAGGCATCAAACGGACGGGGGAAGGAAATAAGGGTGTACTGGGATGGATATTCTCACTGCCGGTCTTACAGACTCACGAGACCGATCTAATGATGGCTAAAGGTGTCTTGGCCACAGTGAGAGGATGCTAGCAGGAGATAATACACACACTATTACAAAAAATGTTTCTAACATGTAAGAATGGTTACACACGGCGACTTTCACAAGCGCGTTCGCGAACGCGCGATTGCAGTCGCGCGTTTGCATTGCGTTGCATCGCTGTTCAAAGTAGCGCGTGTGTGTTAAGGTAGACGATTAGCTACTACATCGCGTTTCCATCGCTGCTAAACGTTCTAACCGCTAACCGCTCTATGTTGAAGCATTATCTTGCAGCCTGGTTTTCGGTCGTTCGTCTTGCTGAGTAGTGCTGCTGAAGCACTTTCTTGCAGTCTATGTTTGGGTCGTTAGCCTACGAAGTGGAATGCTCAAAGGTTGTTTAAAATGGTTTCTTTCTGATCGTAGACGCAAGGTTAACAGTTTTCTATTTTGGAAGTCTCCTTAACATACCACACAATTTATCATACAATTGGTTTCTTCATTCGCACCCCTGTTGTAATAAGGCACATCTGCAAAATGATTACTTTTCAGAAGAGGTTTAACTAAATTAGTATTTAACTTTATTGTTTAGTTTTATAGCTGTTATTTTATGGACATAAAGTTTTTTCTGATCGGCTTAATGCGATTCCCGGACGTCTGAAAAGTTGGATAGCCGAAGAAGAATACATATATATATAAAACACAAACGTTTTTCATGTTGTGTAGAAAACGCAAATAACAGAATTATCCTGAGATGCGCTAACAATATGAATATGTGTGTGGATAGTACCGTAATAGTAGCATGTGAGTTCAATCATTCATACCTATTTTAACTTTGATAGTTTAAGTAGCATAAGATTATTTAAAACAGGAACCATCATTTTGCGAAAATAGAACATTTGCATGATCAGAGTGGAAGAAAATGCCAAGTGTGTCTTAGTCAACTCAGATCACGCGATCGAATGCGACAAACATACATAATAAATGAAACAGATATCTAATTGAAGATAAACAGTTTCCACTACCAACCGATCACGCGATCAGAGTAGACATATCCATACTTATTCCATTTATTGACTGATTGTTTGGGAATTTTAAACAAACAGGTTTGTTTACTATTCCTGTGCAATGAATTGAAACAGACTATAGTAAAAACATCACGATATTGATCATATGAGTACATAAATTGAAGTTTCTTATACGTCTCAACTTATAATTGTGTTAATGGCTTGTGCCAGTGGTAGGGGAATGCGCTGTCTACGCTACGCGTCTAGTAATACGCAGCTTGCATGACAACTAAAACGTTATATTGGATAACTTTCAATTCTCTTTGCATCAGTTCATTTGGAGCATCAATTTATGTCTTTGTTAAGATATTTAAAGTGGGACGAGCAATTCGTATGTCTAATGGTAGGCAACACGACCAACCACAACAGCCTATTTAAAACAAACGTGTAAATAATTTGTTGTTCGATTTATGAAATTTAATTGTTAAATACCTACCCTATTTATTTAGTCATTCAACATTTGCAACATAATAGATTAAAATCCAAGTCGCTACACACACAGCAAACGCTACTAAATCAACAACAGAAAAGAAATAAAAAATAATGAACATACTTAATACTATAGATTATCAATCTTATGCCATCCAGTAGAGCTCATTATTGTTTTGACTACAAGATTATTTATTTACGCAAAGTTACACAGGTATACAAATTTCGGAATTACTAAAAATTCAGTAGACATAAAAAGTTACGTAACCAGTTTTAACATCCAATATTTGTGAAAGTGCTTACGCTTCTTGTCCTTTTCTTGTCAAGGTAGACAGAGACCACAGCCTGACTGATCCTGACACACACAATCGCCTCATTAACACGCATTAATGCTATCATACATACTCGTGAAATGGTCTTACATTCCGAGTGTGAGACCGTTCTTGCTATATAAGTTTTTGCTACACGTAGATCTATCCAAATTATGGACTATCACTTTAAATCGAAACACTACTTGTTAGCTCGCAGAACTGAAAACCGACAGGGAAGAATGATTCCTAAGTGACTCCCGTGATCTGGAAGACACAATGCAGTATGATAAGTGAGTTGTAGTTTAGTGAATGTGGCGGGGAGGCGTTGGAAACGAGAGGCACTTTATTGGAATTTTATAAAGCTGATCATGATACCGTACTCTTGGGTATAATAAAGCCAAATGAACTCTACTTACTGCCTACCCTACCTACCTACCTATTTTTGCATAAAAATGTTATCGACTAGTGTCGTTTGTAGAATCTTTAAACTTCTTCTGAAAAGTAATCATTTTGCAGATGTGGCCGTATTACAACAAGGGTGCGAATGAAGAAACCAGTTATATGATAATTTTGTTGTCTGTTTAGGAGACTTTCAAAACTAAAAAACTATTACAAATAAATATAAAAAAATGTACCTTGCGTCTACGACCAGAAAGAGACCTGTTTAAACAACCTTTGAACATTACACTGAGCAGGCGAGGGAAAGTGCTTCAGCGGCTCTATTCAGCAAGGCGAACGACCGAAACCCAGGTTGCAAGATAATGCTTCAACGGCACTTTACACCGACGAGACACTTATATTTTAGAGTCATTTTTTGTAAGAGTGGGTGTTAATGTAAGTTTGTATATATAGTCATAAATTTATTAATAAAACTAGTCTTTCAACGGCAGTCGAGTTTAATTTATCTCCTGCTAGCATCCGCTCACTGTGACCAGACACCTTTAGCCATCAGTAGATTGGTCTTGTGAGTCTATGAGACCGGCAGTGAGAATATCCACCCTTATTACCTTTGCCCCCGTCCGTCTGTTGCCTTAGGTCTCACGGCGCATTACCCAAAAGTGGGGTCTATATTGTTTGTTAATTGTCGTATTCAGAGACATAATAGTTGACATAGTCATAAAAATTTTAGTCTGAAATAAAATTTCCTCTATAAAAATCTAAAGCTCGGCAGTTGCTGTAGACAGACATGTCGCTTAACACACCAGGCGCACGTTTTGTTCGTCCCGTCACTTGATATCATGAAAATAATAATAACAATAATCGTTTAAAGAATAATCACGAACGTCCTAGAATCTAGGGGATTACTCTGTTTGGAATAAATTTGCAAATTTAATTTCTAGGTAAAATTATCCAGCTTCATGGACATCTACCATCAATCTGTGTAATCATCAATTTTTAAATTAGTATTAAGGGCAGTTTAACACACATAAAATAAAAAGTATGGAAATAAACCGTTACTAAGGGAGAACCCATATGTTATCGAGGGATAGAGAGCTCGTCTGTTAACTGTGTGTTGTCGACTCACAACAATCCAGTGTTATCTACGTCATAATTAATTATTGTTTAAAAAAGATATCGGAGGTTATTTGTTTACTTGTCAAGTACATTACATATTTATCTGTGCAGTCGATAGGTCATTCTCGTCTGAGAAACGTTAACAAATAATATTACTTTGTACTTCTCAAACTGCATAACAATGTTGATAGTGTTAAAGTACGTAAAAGCACTCCATTACCTTCACAGACATAAACATTAAAAAAAAGATAACACAGAGCACATATAGCGAGGATACAAGTATAATTTAAGGTCACTTTGCTTTGTAGAGACCTCGCGTAGTGTTTTGCATCAGGTTAGTTCGATACAGTAAACATTTTGTTGCGCACGATTATTTAATTTGTTCGCGAGTTTTTACGCTATTAATTTTTTATGGGTCCGTAGCGTGAAGTCTTGCGACAATTTGTAAGCACAGTCTGTGTTATTTTTGTATCCATTGACATAACGAGCGAACGACATAGAAAGGTGTAATAGCCTAAAAAAGAACAAATGTACTTGGTCAAATTGGCAATTTCATACAACATTTCAGTTCTTGTTTAGAAGAGATTAGAAACAAAATGTGTTGTCTTTTAAATATTTTTTAGTAGTTTCATGTGTACAATTGAACCTAAAACGCTCATCATGCATTAAAATGTTTTAATGTAATTTCCAGAAGTCCACTATGAAGCTATTACTCCTTATTTCTCTGGTGACGTTGGCAACAGCGACGCAATATTACGACTCCAACAATGATGATCTGGACATCGATGCCATTGTGGCAAATCTGGATACTTTGAAAGAATGGTACAACTGCTTCGTCCTTGATGGAACTTGCAATGCTGTACAGAGCGACTTTAAGAGTAAGTTAAGCATATTATTAGTAGCTGTAGAGCTCATGAAAGTGTCCGTCCAGGACAATATTGCCACCTTACCTAACTCTACCGCCAAGCCACATGCTCACATTACGAGCATTATTGCGTTCCGGGCTTGATGTGTAAAAGTACTCGTAAAATTACAAGCACATGGGACTAGTAAACTTATGTCTCAGAGTAACGTGTGCAGTGGCTCAGATTTTTGCGATTTATAGTTTTGAGTGGCACTGCAGCAGCAAAGGACAGGCGTGTCGCTTACCATCAGGTGCATACTTATTCGTCCTGTCACTTGGTATAATTAAAATAGGTTTATTTTTGCCTTAAGAGTGTTAGAGCACGGCGATTTTCAGCAGCGATGCAAACGCGATGCAGTAGCGATGTAGTCGCTAATCGTCTACCTTTACACACACGCGCGATTTTAAGCAGCGATGCAAACGCGATGCAAGTGCGCGACTACATCGATGCAATCGCACGTTTGCTAAAAGTTGCCGTGTGTAACCACTTTCAGGCTGATTTACTTATATGACGATACAGTATAACTTGACGGGCTGGTGCAACTAAACTCGCCGTCTAGGCGCCTATTTTGCCTGTGGTTGTGGTTAACTTTTTCGAAAAACACGTAAAACTTCCAACTCGTATAGAGCTAATTCTTGGATTATGGACTAAACCGTTTTAGATGGTTGTGTCTAGCTATGTAGGCGTGTATGAGATGTTGATACAGATTATAGGTTGTTATCTTGTAAAAGATTTATATAAAGAATTTAGGTTCCATTTTAAGAGTTTAGGATCCAGCTGGATTCGAAATCCAGCCGGATCCAAGGATTTTTTGTAAGAGTTAGATATTTGTATTAAAACTTATAACAAACTAGTGCAATAGTGGAGTAATTTCATAAAAATAATGAAATATCCTGGTAATCAAACATCGCAACATACAGTAAACTTAAAAATTTGTTAGTGGTTTCAATTGATGCTTTCAATTTAATACGTGTTATTGCACACGACAGTACTATATGGAAAATAACAAAATATTTGTAAATAATTAGGATTTTTTAAAGTAACGTAAATTTAAAAATTTTATTGCATACATACTCGAGTAAATTTTATCTGTACTTTCGAGAACAATGTTATAATATAACTTTGTTTATTTACCACTGCATGCATTGGTGTTATTAATTATACTTCAGAACAGGATGTCTACGTGATTTATATAATTACCCTAAAATTGTGTT